GCTTTACGTGGGGCTACCTTTTAGGGTGACCCGGAAACTGCAACTAATCCTGAACACGGCAGCTAGACTGGTGACTGGGAGTGGCTGCCGAGACCATATAACACCGGTCCTGAAAGACCTGCATTGGCTCCCAGTACGTTTCCGAACACAATTCAAAGTGTCGGTGCTGACCTTTAAAGTCCTAAACGGCCTTGGCCCAGTATACCTGAAAGAGTGTCTCCACCCTCATTTTCCTTAAATTCCTTAAAATAGTATAAGACAATTACAAATGTGACCAGCTCAGCAGTTTAAAAATAATAAAGGCATGGCCTAGGACAAAAAGGTCTGCCCAAAATAAAAGGTGTTAATAAACTGGCAAAAAACAGTGAATGAGGAGACAAACCGAACATCATAAGGCAAAGGATTTCAAAACATGGGTGCCACCACTGAGAAGGCCCTCTCTCTTGTCATACTCAGCTAATCATAGACCCCCCCCCCGATGTTTGGAAACAGGCAAGATGTCAGTTCCTAAGGTATTCTGGACCTAAGCAATCTAGGGTTTTAAAGCTAATAATCACCAACACTAAACTAAGTGTCTCCACCCCCATTGTTCAGGGCCTTCTCGGTAGTGGCACCCAGCCTGTGGAACGCCCTCCCATCAGAAATAAACAACTATCTGACTTTTAGAAGACATCTGAAGGCAGCCCCATTTAAGGAAGTTTTTAATGTTTGATGTTTTATCGTGTTTTTAATATTCTCTTGGGAGCCGCCCAAACTAAGGCCCGGGGGCCGAATCTGGCCCAAATCGCCTTCTAAATCCGGCCTGCGGACAGTCCGGGAATCACCGTGTTTTTACATGAGTAGACTGTATGCTTTTATTTAAAATGCATCTCTCGGTTATTTGTGGGGCATAGAAATTTGTTCACCCCCCCAAAAAAATACAGTCTGGCCCCCCACAAGGTCTGAGGGACAGTGGACCGGCCCCCTGCTGAAAAAGTTTGCTGACCCCTGGGCTAGGGAAACCCAGGCAGATGGGCGGGGTATAAATAATAAATTAATAACAAAAATAATAATATTGGTTGTGAGCATGCACATACATGCACTACTCTTCTTAAAATTGCTTTGCTCAATTATTCTGGAGCTACCTCACACACTAAAATTGTAGATGTACTGAGATCATTTAAGAGTACAGTACTAGGATTGGTTGCAGCTGCTAGTTGGACGTCATGAATCTGGGCTTCATTCCACCTAGTGTATTATATTATTCTTTCCTTTGTGTTACATTATCTTTTTTTTAAATTATTACTTTAATTCCTCCCCCACATCTTATCTGTTGAATGGATCTCTGGGTTTATGCTGAGAACCATTTCTGCATCCCCCCCAGTCATTCTCTCATACTGTATAAGTATTTTATTAATCCCCTCCTCAGCCTGTTTTCTTTGCATTTTAAAGCTTTAAAAGCCCCATATAAGGGCAGACTTTAAAGAACTTACGCTTATTGGCCAAATGTACATTACTTCGCAATTACTAACTTTGATTTAATCACCAATTTTCTTGCTGAACCACTATAACAGGAGAAAGATTCTCTCTCCTTGCTTTTCATAATCTGGTTTGGATTATACTATTCTGAATTAAGGATGCCAAGTAGCCTGAAAAAAATGATTTGGCTTACTCATACGCTTTCTAACCTCCAGGTTCAGGTTTTTCACAGCTTGAAGATATTAAACAATCTGCTAATGCGAGCAGATCAGGCTACTGTTAAAGACACAGGAGCTGGGACTGGTAAGAAAAACATTTGCAATGCTCACGTGAATATTTATATAATTGTACATATTTTTCCACCTCTATTGTGCATCCTAAAATCTAGGTCCTTTGTAAATAGACTGTTAGACAGTCACCAGGTGTCCCCTTTTTTAAAAAAGCTCAGAATAGGCCTTTATTCTGTATGATGACAGTATTTGATGGTGGAAATATACTACTTTTTAAGAGAGTGGGACATGGTATCCATCCCTTTTTTTATCACAGGTGGAAAAATAATTTGGGAATGGCAGGGTTTTTTTGGTTTTAGTGGCCTCTGGGGAAATAGTTAAACACCCTTTTCTACCCACTGCCCCTTCTCTGATCAATTTCACAGCCTCCTGCAGCTGCTTCTCATTAAGAGAAAGGGAGGAAAGCTGGAAAAGTGTTATATGAAGCTGCAGTGTAATCTGGTTTGGCCTAGAGAGTGTAAACAATATCTGAGTTTAGGGGCCTTGATCAAAACAGTTCAAGATCTGCTTGTAGTAAAGGGTCCCCGTCCCCCCCAAGCAGACCTTCCAGGTGTCCCTATTTTCCAGGGACAGTCCTGGATTTACAAAAGCCATCCTGGTTTCTGATTTGATCCTGGAATGTCCAGCTTTTCTTTAAGACGTCTATATTTTCATGGGAGAAATGTTGGAGGGTATGGAGTTATGTGACCCCCACTCCTCCCCCCCCCCAGCCTAGGAGGTAAGTAACCAGGGCCAGATTTAGGTTTGATGAGCTACTGAAAGTAATGGAGCCCTTTATATGTCCAGCTGTCCTTTGTCAACAACAAATTGTCGCTGCTTTTTTGTGTTGAATATATGCTATATGGTCATTTGTGGACCTCGTAGGTATCTAAAACCATTTGCACATAACAAAATATGTATTTTATCAAAGTAATTGTTGAACTGAAATACAATTAAGAAGTATAATATTAATAGTGAAATACAATTATGAAGAAGTATGTTAATAGTGAAATAATTATTAAGCTCCGACTTAAAATGATTTTTTTATTCATAACAAACTTAATAATGCAAACACGTTGGCCTTTGGCAATAACGAAAGTTCCTTTACAAACTCAATTTACAAAGACTCATAATCTAGTCTGTAGAAACTTGCTATAACATGAAATAATAATTGCAGGTTTGATTTTATTTGTTTTTTGTCTTATATTTTGGAAATGCTCATCCAGTTTCCCCCCTTTAATTTTTGGGGGGGCCTCCAGGAGAGTGGGGCTCTAAACTGGAGCTTGTTTAGCTTATATGTAAATAAAGGCACTGTAAGTATCTATGCAACCTTTAGAAGACATCTGAAGGCAGCCCTGTATAGGGAGGGTTTTTTTAATGTTTCATGTTTCATTATGGTTTTCATATATGTTGGAAGCCATCCAGAGTGGCTGGTGCAACCCAGTCAAATTGAGGGGTATAAATAATACAATATTATTATTATTTTTTGAATAGGGCATCCCTATTTTCATCGGATAAATGCTGGAGGATATGCTCTGGCAATGCACCTGTGTCTTTAAAAGCAGCCAGTTACTGGGAAATTTCACAAATTAAGTTTTTTCACCACATGGCCTGTAAACGGAATTAAAGAGAATTGGCTGTCCTGCTATGGTTTGCCAAACACCAGTTCTATGGGGACGGGTTTTTAAACTTGGGTGGGTGGGTGTTTTGTTTGGGAGGTGGGATTGCTTCAAATTGTTTTTAAATGCTGTATGTGACTTTGTATTTTGTATTTGCACTTATATTTGTTGGCCGGCATATAGTTTAGGGACTGTTTTAATTGTTTTCAATACGTCTGTTGTGCTTTTTATGTTGCAACTTTATGTTGTGAACTGCCCTGAGGCCTACAAATATAGGGTGGTATACAGATTTAATGTAAAAAAAGAAGAAGTTTGTCGAAGGAAAGCAGGAAAAACAAAAGTTGCTCTTTTAGCAGAGGTCTGAGGTGCAGAAAACAGGAGATGGAGTTATTTGTGGCAGGGAGCTCAACTTTATCACCTGCTAGGCCCAATTTCAGATTTTGGCAGGCCTCGCTGTTTCACTCTTTATCTCTGGTCAAGCAGGTTTTGAAAAAACTTGGGGGAGGAAAAAAAAATCTGCCAGCGATCAAAGGAGGATGATCAAATTGTAGAGTTTGCAAAAGGTGTTGATAACTGTTAAGAGACCTCTCTTCCCCTCACAGAGCTACAATTGTCAGAGTTCCCTGGGAAGAAGGGTTGGTTGTTTAAATCCCATTTAGAAACTGTAGCTCTGTGAGGGGAATCAGGGGACTCCTAACAATTTTCATTACCTTGAACAAACTGCAGTTTCCCAAGATTATTTTAGGGAAGCCATGGCTGGCCTAATGGAAGAATGATGCGTTAAGATAATAGAATAATTATTATTATTTTTAGATTTGCTTCCATCCTTATATTCCCCTGCTTTTTGTGGGGGTGAATGCTAACTAATAAAAGGCCCACCTTTGCGTTTGGTGTTCCTAAGCTTTAACTACTGTAATGAATTTCTGTCAGGCTGCTTCTAAAAGCTGAAGGAGCTATGAAAAGACATGGTTAATAATAATAATTGTTATTTATACCCCGCCCTCCCCAGCCAAGGCCGGGCTCAGAGCGGCTTACAAGCAATAATAAAAACAAGTTGAATGATTACAACTTAAAACAAAATTAAAATACAACATTAAAATAATGAAACATTAAAAGGGAGGGAAAGTGAGAAATCTGTGCAAATAAGAAACTATATTGGAGGAAGTTTATTTGTAAGCTGCGTTGAGTCCCACCAGGGAAAAAGGCAGTGTTTAAATAAATAATAGGAATAAGTTGGAATGATTTTCTGAATGGAAAACCAGAAGCAAAAACTCCACAAGTAGTTGTATGGAACAATCCTATGGAGCAATTTTGAGAAGACCAAAGAGGGAATTAAAATATAGAACTAGAACCATTTTCGTTGCCATTGTAGGACCTTTGCTTAAGTAAAGTCTCTGTCTTCTGTTTGCATAATATTTGCAAGTTTTACAGTGGCAAATATTTCAAGGTGGAAATAGGATTGCCACACACACACACACACACACACACACACAACACACAATTGTATCTTTGACAGTAGCTGGGAACAATAAATTTAGCAGGTGAAATTTCCATATGAGGGAACATTTTATTTGCTGTATTTCTGTGTGTCAGGCTGCAGTTAAACGTGCCCAAACAGAACCAGAGAAAAGCGAGGCAAGAGGTGGGGATCTGAATAAAAAGTAGTAAAATTCTTTAATATGCTTTAATATGCATATTTAATATGCTGGTATAGATGCATCTGGTTTGCGATACTGAGAACTAAGCCAACATGTGGGAGCAGGGGGCGGAGAGTCATTCTTGAAAAGTAAATTTCAAGACAATACAACTTTGTACATATTTTTTTTTCCTTCGGTGAACAAACTATAATTGTATATTACATTGCTTTCTTCTTTCTTATATAGTAAAAGAAGAAGAAACAGGACGTGAGAAGTGAGTGAGAAGTTGGTAACTTCTGCATTGACAGGTGGGAAAATAGTAGTGAATTGTGATGAGTGTTCAAGAAGTGGAAGGCATTCTAAAAGTAGCAGAACCAGACACAATAAAGAAACATTCATGGGGAGAAAGAGGGGTGGGGACTTAGAGGAGGAGGTTTTTTTCCATGTTATGGGCCCAAATTAGGGATGGATAAATCTGCCAATTTGTTTTTTCTCCATTTCTCTTCTGATCATAAATTCAGCAATTTCACCAGATTTCTGCATCCGTTTGCCAATAATTTGTATTTTAACATCCTCACAAAAACCCGCCAGTACTTTAGTGTGCATCTCCCCTAATACACATATTTTTGCCAGTAGTTTCCCCTGATATAATGCCTTTTGATGTTATTTTCACTATTATCTGCATTTTTATGCAGGTTTCCCCATATATTCTCATTTTGGAGGGGTGAGGGGGAGGTTGGATGGACAGCTCCATAACAAAAATCAGAAATGGGCAGGTTTCACATAGCCGCGTTAGCAAATTAGGTAGATTTGAATGAAAATGCAAAGCAGACTAAATTCCTACCCGTAAGCAACAAGGAATGGGAAGATGGATTAGCTAAGGAGTGAAAGTAATGAAATGGGAGATTAGGGCACCTGTCTGTAAACGTTTGCCTTTCTAAGGGTTTCGTAAATCTCAGACATGTCCGTGCCACCCTCTCTCCCTATCTGAACTGCAGGTTCCTTTTCCTGAGCCAGGACTGCGAGGTTTAAAAGGTTTCCCCTGCCCCCCCACTCGTCTGCAGCTGCAGCAACCCTGCCGCGTCTTCTGGCTCCGAGAGCTTTGAATTAATCTGCCAGGACTGGGCAATCAGGTATGTACAGAGCCAGCCGCTGTTAATGAACACACCCAGCTGGCCTGCAGATCTTTGCACAGAACGGAGTGAATACTTTTAGTCTTTCCCACTGATCCAACAAGCATTCAGGCCTGGGATAAAAGCTGGCATAGATTCCATAGGCAGCAGTGTCTCTTCAGTCTGCCCTGCTGCCCCCAACTAATGTTTGGAGCGTTAGTTAAGTAATCTTGTTATCTTTCCGGCACAGTATATATGGTAAGACGTAAACATGCAGAAAGGGAGACTGGGCTGGAAAATAAATATTCTCCGTGCACAAATAACTGAGCAATAAAATGGAGTCTTCTGTCTGCAGAGTTGTAGCGTGTGTCTTAATTGGGGAGGTTTTTTTCTCTTCAGAATAACAGTCAGCCAGAAAAGCATCCCAAATCCTCTGGTGTTAGAGTCCTGGGAAACTTCAATTCAAATAGTTTGGACTGATGAGCCTCACACACAACAGTGATTCACAAACAAAACAAAGGCACTGCTGAGTATTTGTATTACCCCTGTTCTTAAGGGAAGGCTTGTTGTCTGCACCCCCACTCCTTTTCCAACTGTTGTAAAGTTGTCGTTTTAAAAATTGAATTTATTTCCCAGCCTTCACCAGCAGGTCCCAGGGTGTGTTGCAACCCTTTAACATTCACAACTAAAAACAATTAAAATGGATTACAGTCGCAGGACTAGGATGGGTCCTGAAACGCGCGTAACTCCAGTGTAAAAAGTAAATGGTAAATTTGCCAAAGCTGTGTAGTGAAGAAGGCTGACGTACATCGGTGGGGAGCAGCGCTTGAAATTCACCAAGTGCCCCACACATTTTGCACCTGGCTTTTGACTGCTTGCGACCAAGTGAAGATGCTCTGCTGCCAGGATGGTGCCTGATGTCTCCACCATCTGGAGGTGCATGCTTGGGGATCCTTGGATCTTGCCTGTTTTCACACACTAGCAACACATCCTGTAGAATTCTATCCATGGTATTTTATCTGCACCATCGGAACGAAATCCAGGAACCAAAAAGTCATATGGAAAATAGGACTTTTGAGCTGTCTGGCCCCCAAATGGCAACTAGGCACTCTGTTTTGGCGACTGTAAAGGTAAAGGGACCCCTGACCATTAGGTCCAGTCATGGCCGACTCTGGGGTTGCGGCGCTCATCTCGCTTTACTGGCCAAGGGAGCCAGCGTACAGCTTCCAGGTCATGTGGCCAGCATGACTAAGCCGCTTCTGGCGAACCAGAGCAGCACACGGTAATGCCGTTTACCTTCCCGCCGGAGCGGTACCTATTTATCTACTTGCACTTTGACGTGCTTTCAAACTGCTAGGTTGGCAGGAGCAGGGACCGAGCAACAAGAGCTCACCCCGTTGCGGGGATTCGAACCGCGCGTAAGTCCAGTGTAAAAAGTAAATTGTAAATTTGCCAAAGCTGTGTAGTGAAGAAGCCGACTCTGGGGTTGCGGCGCTCATCTCGCTTTACTGGCCGAGGGAGCTGGCGTTTGTCCACAGACAGCTTCCTGGTCATGTGGCCAGCATGACTAAGCTGCTTCTGACGAACCAGAGCAGCGCACGGAAATGCCGTTTACCTTCCCGCCGGAGCGGTACCTATTTATCTACTTGCACTGCATGCTTTTGAACTGCTACGTTGGCAGGAGCAGGGACCGAGCAACAAGAGCTCACCCCGTTGCGGGGATTCGAACCGCCAACCTTCTGATCGGCAAGTCCTAGGCTCTGTGGTTTAACCCACAGCGCCACCTTTGGCAACTGTAACCCTGGCTTAAGGAGAGAACTATGGGACACCTCTATTGCCCAGGACCCCCTTAGTTTGGCTGTGCTTCTGCCCCTCATTTCCCCATCCTGGTCTTCCTCCTGTCTCACCTCTCTGCTTGTTTTCGCAGTTGCAAATTCCATACTGCTTGCAGAGTGCTGTTTTTATCTCATTGCTGACTCCCTTGGCCAGGGCCTTCCCCCTCCCTTGTAGCTTCCTAAAAAAAAAGGAAATAATGGGTGATCCCAACCCTCAGCAAAACAAAAAGCAAAGAACAACAAACCCTTACCTTTGAGAAGGGCTTTTTTTTCCAGCCAGAGCTCACAGGAACTCAGTTCCAGCACCTCTCAGGTGGGCACCATTGCCATTATAAGAGAACAAAGCAAGTGTTCATAGTGAGTTCTGGCACCTCTTTTTCTAGAAAAAATAGCCCAGCTTCAGAGGGTGAAGTTGTTTTCCTGGAATGGGGATAAGTGGTGAGGAGGTAGACTTCATTTGAGCACATAGTCATGGGGGAGGAAAGTATGCCTTTGTCTAAAACAGATCAAAGGTAGGGGAAAGTTTTATCTGTTTAATTTCTGTGTTCCAGGATGCCATTAGAGTCACAGAAGCAGAGCTAGTAAGAATATATATTTCTATTGGGTGTTCTGGCCTTGTTCTTTCTCTTAATAAAAAAAAGATTATCTTAGGCTTGGCAAGTCTCTGCCAAAGGCACTAACTTCCATAGATCTCTAGATACAGTTATTAGTGCAAGGGCCAAATTGCACATGACGTGCTTAACGTGGCTGCTTTTATTTTTACTGAAAACAGCACCGCGGAGGGCAAACAGCTTCTAGGCAGAGGGTGATTTCCAGCAGAAAACTGGCACGGTGCCTAGGATGGCCAGATGGAAGAGAACAGCTAGAGTTCCTGCATTTTGAATAGTTGTGTAGAAGAAGGAACTCCACCATGCAATGAAAGCTACATCTGGTGAGATTCCCTTTTCAATTGGTAGCACATGACACTCTTAATCTCAGGGTTGTGGGTTCGAACCCCACATTGGGCAAAGGATTCCTGCTTTTCAGGGGGTTGGACCAGATGACCCTCATGGTCCCTTCCAGCTCTGCAATTATATGTTTCTACACAACTATTTAGTGATGTATGGAAGTGAGAGCTGGACCATAAAGAAGGCTGATCGCCGAAGAATTGATGCTTTTGAATTATGGTGCTGGAGGAGACTCTTGAGAGTCCCATGGACTGCAAGAAGATCAAGCCTATCCATTCTGAAGGAAATCAGCCCTGAGTGCTCACTGGAAGGACAGATCCTGAAGCTGAGGCTCCAATACTTTGGCCACCTCATGAGAAGAGAAGACTCCCTGGAAAAGACCCTGATGTTGGGAAAGATGGAGGGCACAAGGAGAAGGGGAGACAGAGGACGAGATGGTTGGATACTGTTCTCGAAGCTACCAGCATGAGTTTGACCAAACTGCGAGAGGCAGTGGAAGACAGGAGTGCCTGGCGTGCTCTGGTCCATGGGGTCACGAAGAATCGGACATGACTAAACAACAACAACAACACACAACTATTAAGATGCAGGCGCCCTCTCTTCTTTTATACCTGGCCAACCTAGCAGCCCCTCATCCGGATCGGGGTGCAACTGCTGCTCTTCCTTCGAAAGAGTGGCTGGGGAAACCCAGCCAGATGGGTGGGATATAAATAATAAATTATTATTGTATTATTATAATAATGAAAGCAGCCAAGCCAAGCACACATCTTGAAACTTGTGACTAATATCATGTGTGGTTTGGCCCGAGGTCTATTCCATGATACTATAGCATATTTAGCAGGTTTAATTATTTATCCAGCCTTGATGATGGGCTCTGTGGAACACCTGCTGCCCTATTAGGGAACCAGCCAGAATGCACTTGGCTGGTATCCTGAAGCAACAGGGATCTTGATATCTCTGGGAGAACTGTGCTGTGCTCATCAGCACGATTTGTAACACAATAGGTGGGCTTCAGGGTAGCGTTGCCAACTGATCAGAAAAATAATAACCTAACCTGCTCTTCTGCCCTAAGCAGATTTGTTGGCATCTGTCTGTCTTGAGAGTCAATGGAAGAGTGTGCCTTAGGGGATGAGAGATATACTACTCTCCTGCAGATATTTACACATCAAGTTCCTGTCAAAGGCAAAGGCTACAAGAGACAGTTTAGAAGTTTGCAGTCCCTGCTTACAGGAAGATTGGGACAACTCTAGGTTTTTGTTGGGTGACTGCCAAATTTGTGAGCCCAGGAGCAGATTGCTCTACAGGGATTACACCATTGGACGCTGCTTTCAGGGTTGTCCCATCCCTCCCCTACGCACCACCTCTGCTCTTCATACCATTCCATTTCATTTCACTTTTAATTTGCATACCGCCTTCCTATATTATCGTACCCAAGGCAGTTTACAAGCTGAAGAAACAACTAAGATCGCACACCTTATAAAAATAGGATCCAAGACAAGGATTTCATAATAAAAGCCTAACTTTAAAATAAATAGCTTATATCCAATACAATAATATTCAATAATCTATTAGAATACAATAGTACACAATAAATATCAGTAAATAATAATTAAACAGAAATTCACCCTTAACAATTACAATAATTACAATAAATAATTACAATAAATAATTTATTTATTACAATAACAATTACAATAAATAAATAATTTCTAAACTATAATCAATAAAAATAACTCACTGTGCATAAAATAACACTGCAAACTGAGAAGCAAAGACACACAATATGTGTGTGTGTGTGTGTGTGTGTGTGTGTGTGTGTGTATTTAATGTCTCTGAGTTCCTCTTCTCCCTTCCCAGCTGCTTTTGTTGTTCCTAAAGTCATGGTCTGGGAAAGGCTCCTACGGCTGGGGGGTTAAGCAAGACAGGTGCGGTGGGAGGGAAAGCCATTGCCTGGTGGCCAGCACAAAGTCTCTCTCCTGTCTTCTGCCTCTCGGTGGCCCTAACTTACATAAATCGAGCAGGCGATGAAGAAGAAGAGAAGAGTTTGGATTTGATAAGGAGTCTCAAAGCGGCTAACATTCTCCTTTCCCTTCCTCCCCCACAACAAACACTCTGTGAGGTGAGTGAGGCTGAGAGACTTCAAAGAAGTATGACTAGCCCAAGGTCACCCAGCAGCTGCGTGTGGAGGAGCGGGAGACGCGAACCCGGTTCACCAGATTACAAGTCTACCACTCTTAACCACTACACCACACTGGCTTTTCCCATCTCACTAACTCCATGTCATACAAAGCTTCGCCTGTTAAGTCTATGTATTGGGTTTGGGGGTTGCTGTTCTGTGTTACGTTGAGTTGCTTGCTGAAATGTTCTAATCTAGACACCTACTTGCACTGGTGTGCTTTTGAACTGCTAGGTTGGCAGGAGCTGGGACAGAGCAACAGGAGCATGCTCCGTCGCGGGTATTCAAACCGCCAACCTTCCGATCGGCAAGCCCAAGAGGTTCGGTGATTTAGACCACCGTGTCACCCACGTTTTTTTAATTTAGCTACAGAGCAGGTGACTTCAGTAGCAGTGATGGGGAATGTGGGAATAAACTAAGGCAGTATGCAATGTTGCTGCTGCGATGGTGTGTGCCGTAAGAGGTGATTCTCGGGTACATAGGACAATGCTTGCAGGATTCTATACCAATAAACAGCTTTGAGTGATTATGCTTGAGATAATGTAGACGGCATGTATGCATTCAACCCTTGGGAACTGCAGCTTCGCTCCAGAAATGCAGGTGTGTACATGTCAAAGCTCCTTTGTCTGGAGGCCAAACATACCTGGCATCAGGCATGTGAAAAGTTCACGGCGGTTGGGAAATAGGAGGGGCTGAGGGAGGCCAGCATTGAAGTACAGCATTGAGACTGAAACATTCTCCCTCAAGGAAGACACGTCTTCAGAAGCAGGGTGCCAGTAGCAAAACTTACAATTTGTGATTATAATTTTAAAAGGTAAACAAGACATAGCAATAATGCAAAGCCAGAGATGAACTGAAATGGCAGTTGCTTTACTATTTGTTCTGGTTGTGTTTTTTTTTAAAAGTGTGTTCTCGAAACCTCCTCTGTTTGTTTTTTTAATAAAAAAGTTGGCTATAACCCAACAGAGGGGGCGGGGATTAAAAGGCATCTACTCTCTTGCCAATCAGATGATAGGTGAATTAGGATATATGTACGTATGTACACCTCCATTCATTAAAACTTTTCATAAGCTCCCAGTGTCAGAAAACTGGCAAGTTACTTTCTTCTTAACATGACAAGGTGAGCAGGCTTTACTGTTGCTCGCCACTGCCAGCCAAATGACAGGACCCGTGTGTTTTATTTAAACTTTGTGACTTTATATTGTTGTTGTAAGCTGCCCTGAGGACATTGCTTAGGACAAAAGGCGGGTTAGAGATAAAACAAAACACACACACACTTGGGTGTTTTTTTTAATCCTCACTTGTTAAACCAGCTCTTTCTGTGCACATATGTGTGGAAAGCTTTAAAAGGATTGGAAGATAGGCTTTTAAAAGCCCATGTCAGGACACTGTTCAAATTCCAGGAAGTGTCAGAAGGATTTGGCAAGTGGTTCTGTTTCTTCCAAAAACCCTGAAGTTCAAACTGAAATCTGGCCAAGATCTGAATGTTCAGATTAGCCTTATTAAAGGCTTTCTACAAAAGGTAACTTTGACAACTTGTCTGAGTTTAATGTTAAGTCAAATTAGTACGGTTTGAGGAACTGACATTCCTTAAACAGACATATACAGTAACTTATATCTGGCAGCTGCGGTAGGTCTCAAACTTTCTGGGAGCTGAACTCGATCCCTTTTCCTGAGCCAACACTGCTTCTTAAAGACTAGAGGTCTCTAGGACTCTATGCCCTGGGCCTTGAAAGATGCATGCATTGCAGGGAATTGGACCAGATGACCCTCGGGGAACACTTCCAACTCTACAATTCTATGATTATGTGATTCTACACTACTGAGTGGTCTTATGTCTTACTTTACAGACCTCTAATGCGAAGGACTGTCAGAAAGGAGGGTCCTCTATGTGAAGACAACACTATCTGAGGGCTGTTCAGTCCAAGTTTGGTTAAAACAACAAAGAACCATAAAAACAGAGAGCAAGAGATTTGAAGTTGACCCTCAGCAGTAACGTCACCATTGTGAGGTACGTTTTATTTCCAGTTAGATTGCATGTAATTATTTCTAAGTTTGCACCTCTACGTATGAAAAGTCACAAGCAAATTTTATTCAAATTGGTGTCATCTTTCTGTCCTTGTTTTTGGGCAATGCATAACTGGCTGCCCTCCTTCCTGGGGAAGGGGTGGTCCACTATTGCGCTACTGCTGGTCCAAAACATTTTGCTGACTGAAGCAAAACCCAACAATGATGTCCCACCCCTAACCCTATGCTAAGATTAACACTTTGGAAAATCTCACCCTACTATTCAGACGTCAGTTCCTGCCTTTGTCTATTGTCTAAATCAGTGCTTCCCAAACTTGGGTCTCCAGCCATTTTTTGGACTACAACTCCCATAATCCCTAGCTAGCAGGACCGGTGGCCAGGGATGATGGGAATTGCAGTTCAAAAAGAGCTGGAGGCCCAAGTCTGGGAAACACTGATCTAAATCAAGGATAGGGAATGTTTGACTTTCCATGGGTTACTGGACTACAGCACCCATAATCCATGACCATTGGTCATGCTGGCTGGGGCTGATGGGAGTTGAAATCCAACATCATCTGGAGGCTACAGGTCCTGTGCCTCTGCCCTAAATTCTACTACTTAATCAGCTATCTTCGCCTTGCCACATGGTACTGCTGATCCTATTTTGCGCTCACAAAAACCATTGGAAGTGGAGTTGTTAACCGTGAAGGTTCTAGGTGTGAATTTCCTCCTGTGTTTGAGGGGCAGCTTTCTTCTAAGGATTTCAAAGCCTCTAAACTTGCCTGTTTGTACACAGCACAAAGATGCTCATTGCTTTCTTTGTGAAATTGATCCTAAATTAGTGCAAGGTGAAGAATGTTCTGCTGAATTATTTTTCTTATTTAAGTACATTGTTTTTGAACCAGTTTTTACAACTCTCTTGTCGGTGAGTCCATACATAAAACTTAAGTTAGCCAGAGAGTCTGTGCAAATAGAAACTATTTCTCAACACTTTTTGTCCCATTTTAACACAGTTCACAAGAGGCTAGAGTTACAAAACAAACCAGAAAAAAGCACAGCTTCTTCTGGCCTTAACTCTTTTAGCATCTGATGTATAAAATTCAGCAGGTGAACCTTTTCACTGCAAGGTGATAAACACATTATCTAGCAAATGTCTGTATGCCAAGCTACTGTTAAATGCTCAGTTGCAGAGCTTCATTGCTGGCAACTCCACAAGGCACGTTCCTCTATAAAAAGTGTTCAGTGTTACTTGTGAATATGCCCTAAAATAATGAAATCAATTGTGCATTTTCAAGAGCATTAATGAACACTCTTCTCCTGCTGCAGTTTATATACATTGCCACAATGCACGTTATACGAGTGCCATGTTCCTGTACATGAATGCACACCCATGCCTGCAACCTCCAGTTTGGGAAGCTGTCATTGCACGTGTGCAACAGCTGTCTCAAAGGGACACAACTCAGCTTAACCACAAAGTGAATGTGGCTTACGCTTTCAAATCGGGTGGAACCTGGTTTGAAGAGAAACACATCAAAGAGCTATTTTAAAAGAAACTACAGGATAGAGATTGATTGTGGCTAACCTACATGTATACACTGCTTCAAACATCAGGGATGGGAGTGTGTTGGGATCTGAGTAAATGGTAATGTATATGCAGCCTCTGTGTGAAGTCTCCTTCCCAGTACCTAGAATGTTGCCATTACATTGTTCTCGTACTGAAGATGCTGGGAAACATAGTTCTACAGGATGCCTAAGTCCCAGGTGGCGTGGAAACTACTTTTCCCAGAGGTCCTTGTGTCTGAGATCAGCGGTGACCTTTGGGCTTTAAAATTTCAGTGGTGCCCTCTGCGACGCCAAAATTTGGTGCCCCCCACCTCTTGCCTTCCCTTTGATGTCATGGTTGCAGCACCCCCTGTGGCGCCATCTTGGCTCAGCACCCACTGTGGGAGAACTGGTCGTGCCCCCTAAAATCCACCTCTGCTGGGATGCCATTGCCACAATCACCAGGCAAGTCTGGAAGAAGGGAAAGGCAGGCGTCTGGATCCTGTAACAATCCCAGTTTAATTAATATGCAGGTTATATATTCAGACTTGAGGGGGAAGTTCGCTATTTTCCCATGGGAAATAGCTTTGTAAAGCGTGCTACTGAATCACCAAAAGAGTTTTCCCATCACATCTTTCAGGTCAGCATTTGCTATAAGAGCTAGACCCCCATGCCTACCTTAAAAAAAAAAAGTGGTTTTGCGTTTTTTCGCTACCAGATTATGTGACAATTACCAAACACATCACATTTTCTTTTTTTCTTTTTTTTATACATTTTTCATATTTTGAATATACATCATACATTTTCTGCAATAAATCACTTCCCTCAGAACTTCCCATTCCATGGCAACCTTATTTTTGCTGTATATCCTTTTCTTCCATCCTATTTCATCCTACATATATATCCCTTATTGTTAGTAACTGCTGCTCACACTGTTGTTCCTACTTGTAAGTTAATTTAAATATTATATCACGAAGAGTTGGACACAACTAAACGACTAAACAACAACAACAAATCTCCTTAAATACTCTCCCAAGTATTTCCACTCATCTTGAGTCTCGTCTTGGTTTCTTCCCCCCCCCTGCTGTCATATATGCTAGCTCTGTGTATCCTATCAAATTATCTTGCCAAAAAATGGGAAAACCAATCACATTTTCTGCCCTGTCATGGAATTGTGGGATAGAGGCAGGCAGCTCTGAATAGCAAAGTGAGGCAGCACAACGAGTACATTCAAACTTTGCGAGCCACAGACATTTGGTAGAATTTGTGCCTAGTGCTTCAAAACTCCCAGTGTTAAGTCAGTCTTGCTGGAAAGGCTCGGCTGTTATGTTTTGGGGACTGTCTGGAGCATGTTATGTTTGGTTTCCATTCTTCTCCTTATCCCCTGCCAGTGTTCGCCGCTTTGCTACCTGTTTCCATTCCCACCTCTTCTGCAGAGCCACCCATCTCCTCCCAGCCTTGTCCCCTCTCTGCATGCTGCTCTTGTTCCCTCTCCCTGCACCTTTGTGCCATTCAGCCTCTTTTGTGCCTATCTTGTTCATTCTTTCCCTTTCAGCGCCATTCCTCTTGTCTGGCTCGCCCCTCCTTCCCTTCGCCCTCATGGGTGGTTTTGTCTCCTTGGTTTGTGTGGTCTGCCCTGCACATTCCAGGCCTTTCTCTCCTCAGGACCCGACATGTTCCCCACAGAAAAGGGGATTTATCACATGGATTATGCTTTTCATTCTGCCTTTTGTTTTCAAAAAAATTCACCCTTCTCTCTCCCCCCCCCCCTTGTACTTTGTATACACAGACTTGACAATGCACATATCTGAGGGCTTTTCTGGAGTGCCTGATGCATATGATTCTTTATGCGTTTTAGTTTGAATTCTCCATCTTTCGTTTCTTTATGTATCTCAGCACCACAGGCCTGACTTTGCCAGCTCAGAGGTGCGTTCCCTGCCCCCCCCCATTCCTCCACTCTGAAGCAAAAATAGGCCTGTGCAGGCTCATACCGTCCACCATTTCTCAGACAAAGAGAGAAAGAGAGGCGCTTGTGTACTTTCTCAAACCACGGACACATGTTGTTGAATGCTCTCCTGCATCAGCTATAGGTTGCGTTGCGTTGCTCCACAAAAGTCTGTCCGTTGCTGGCTTCTGAAGCAGGGTGTGTTAGTAAACTGACAATAACCATTTTTCTATCCCACCCCCCCAGGCCACAACACACAAACATGTTGCATTTAATAGAGTCTTAAATCCTTCAGTGAATCTGGCATATTAAAGAAAAGCCTCCTGTAACTTTGAACACGTTCAGCCACAGCTACCACCTGAAGGGACGAGCTGCAAGGGGAACAGCGCGTTTTGTGCCCCTGTGCATGCATTTACATATATGCGCAGGAACCCCACCCTGCCCAAACTAAATTATAGAGATGGAAGGGGAAGATGCTGAAACCTGGGCGGGGGAGGATTTTAGAGCGCACAAAAACAGGAAAATTTCAAGGCAGGCCCATGCTTCATCCAAATGGCAAAACAGGAATGGGGATTTCGTGAGGGGCAGGTACCTGAAAAGCACGACTTTCTCTGTCTGAAGGGGGGGGACTGGAAAATTGCGATTATATGAGCCTATTGTGCATGTGGTGGTGCTGGCAGTGTTTTGGGAGCTGCCGCTTTGTATTCCCATCTGAACTTTTGTTTTCAGTAGGATGCTCTCGCAAGTTTGCAGCGGCGGCAGCAAAAGCCCTCATTAAAAATGCGTGCGCAGCAAAATCCTGTGGCAGAATAAATGGAGACATTCAGCAGAGCCTTGAAACAAAATCCATATGAGGGAGCCCCCCCTCCCCCTCCCCCTCCCCTTCCCCGCATCTCCTGCCCTGATAGCACAGGGATTTGAGGCAGCGGGTCTGGCTCTTGCTGCTGCTGCTGCATATGTGTACATCTGTGGCTACAGGAACTTTGCCCAAACTTCATTCAAAGCAGTGGGTCTTTCAGCCTTTGCTTTCATTCTGAGCAGAGGGAGGGCAGAGGGGGGACCACGGGCCGCTCCATTTCCACAGAAAGGGGGGGGGGAACGTTGCTCTAGCCATTCTGAGCGAAGCATCCACATCCCATTTCCCTACCCCTGGTGCAGAGTGGTGAAGCCCCACGGCTGCTCCTCTGTATGGGTCAGCTGCTCCTCTTTGTAGCAAAAAGATGGAGCAGAAAAGGGGGAATGAGACGTGAAGAAATTTACTACACATATTGAATCAAAGCACTGATCCTGAGAAGGCCTGAATGCCTACAGCTCTATTTTTTTTTTAATTACAAAGAACTCGCCCGGTTCCTTTTGTGTGAAGCAGCTGTCAGAATCAGACCCTGTTTAATATGTGTCAGGCTATCCAGCCGCGAGGGCGGTGTGCAGGGAGTTTATAGTATAAATGGATGTGGCTGAAAACCCCACCGAGGGGGGATTAAGTGTCTGGGGCTGCTGCGGAAGCCTTTGGAATCTGCAGTGCTTACGTTAGGGTTGCCAACCTGGGGTTTAGCAAAAATGCCAAAGGGGTGTGTGCCAGAACTGGGCAGAACCAGGTTGATTGGCTAGCGCGTGGAACGTGGCCATTTGGAGGACAGGTCAAGAGGGCACAGCCTGGTGCCCAGCTTCAAAGTATTTGCTATAGTCATAGAATCATAGAGTTGGAAGGGACCCAAGGGTCATCTAGTCCAACCCCCTGCAATGCGGGAATCTCAACTAAAGCATCCATGACAGATGGCCATCCAACCTTTGCTTAAAAGGAAGGAGAGTCCACCACCTCCCGAGAGAGTCTGTTCCACCGCCAAACAAAAAGTTCTTCCTGATGTTTAGTCGGAATCTCCTTTCTTGTAGCTTGAAGCCGTTGGTTCGAGGCCTACTCTCCAGAGTAGGAGAAAATGAGCTTGTTCCCTCTTCCATGTGGCAGCCCTTGAGATACAGTCATACCTCATGTTACGTCCGCTTCATGTTACGTTCTTTCAGGTTACGTCCCGCGGCGACCCAGAAGTACTGGAAAGGGTTACTTCTGGGTATCGCCAGTCGCACATGCGCAGAAGCGCAAAATGACGTCACACGCATGCGCAGAAGCGGCAAATAGCAACCTGCGTATGCGCAGACGTGCCACTGCTGGTTGCGTTCTTTTCATGTTGCGAACAGGCCTCCGGAACGGATCCCATTCGCAACCAGAGGTACCACTGTATTTGAATATGAATATCCAATCTTATTGTAGTCAAACTGATCTTGAACCTTAGGTGGCTGTTTAAATTAAAATTGGTAATAGTAAAAGAGTTGGTAGACCTCCCCCCCCCCCCGTTTACATTCAGTTCTGTGGAAACTTACAAACCCCACCACATTAAAAAAATTATTCTTGCGATTATATAGCATCTTCTTTTGTATGCATAACTTGAAATGCCCTGCAAAAGTCTCATGGGGAGTAGGGAATGTGAAATGCAGGATAGTGAGAGGGGAATGTGAGCAGGTGTGCAGTTGTACTTTCTTCCTATCAGGGAAGAAGAGGCAGATTTGTACTTGTGTGTTTGTGTATGAGAAAGACAGAGACAATGACAGAGAGACGGACATATTAAGGGCTTTGTTAGGATTTTTTAAAGCTGGGCTACCTGCAGCTAGTGTTAAGACCTAGATTGGGTTGTGGAGGCAGCTGTTAAACCGTCAACATTTTATTTTATTTATTCAAAAACATTTCTAAATTCAGGGCTTTTTTCTTTTTCTTCAGCCAGAACTTGCCGGAACTCAGGTGGACGCCATTGCCATGATAAAAGAACGAGGGAGGTGTTCACAGTGAGTTTCAGCACTTCTTTTTAGCTAGAAAAACAGCGCTGTCTAAACTTAATATTTAAAAATCTCTAAGTGGCATATGTGTGTGTCTGTTGCAGAGCTGGCATTAATATCAAGTGACATGAAGCAGTTGCTTCAAACTGTTGCTTCCGGCCTCCATTTTATTACATTTGCTGTGTTTAAAATGTGTTGGGACTGATGTCACTCTGCCTTCTTGCGTTGGGTGTGAAAACGCCTGACAAATGCTTTACATGTTACAGAAAAGACAGATCCCTGCCTCTGCACTGTGGGTCAATCATACTATTTGCACTCAATAAAAACAATGCCCAGAAGCTTCAGCTGGTCACAGATCCCAAATAAATATTTAGAGTGTGTTAAGAGTCATGTTTAACCCATTGCAGAAATGCATGTTTCTTCCACTCCTTTCCTCCTCTGTATTATATGAAGTGCTACAGAGACCTACACCAGACTTGTCCACCCATTTAAATACAAAAACAAAACACTCTCACATATGATCAGCATCTTGGTCCTGTGCTGGAAGGCAATCCTCTGTAGTGAAGTTCTCCAGCTAGCACATCTGGTCCTCACTATCTCTGGTAATGGAGCTAGACTTTCAGATAGAAAAAGTGATACAGTTCACCTGGGATTGTTCAGCTTCACATGGTCCCAATGCTTGCCCATGTTTGGAAGAAAACTTCCCCACGTGTTGAAAACTAGCACAACTGAGAGCCAGCTGGCCAGGACCCTTTCCCCAGGTACGTTAGCTTTTCCGTTAGGCAAAAGAGCTTGATGTGTGTGGATTGTTCAAATATAATTCTCTATTATACATGGCACAGTCCAAGAACGATAGCAGCATTTGATGTTTCTGCATGTACAGCTTGGTTCTCAGGGTGGGTCCATCAGTGTGTAGAGATGCAGACCTGGGACTCAGAGCTGCAAATATAACATTTTAAGTGTGTTTTAAGTGCGTTGTACAAATGAGACACTAGATGGTGCTGATGAGCTAATGGCAAATTCCATATATATTTTAAAACTTTTTAAAAGCATTTTCACAGTGTTTTCTTTTTTTATATCTATGTAGATTCAGCCTTGTATTGTAGTAGCAGAACTTTTTTGCAAGTCGTATCTTAACTCTGAAATATACTGAAAGCACTAGATGAATTGGACCCTTATTTGGAAAACCTTGTATAGGGCACCTATCAGCTAGCAGCCAAGTTCACCCCAAATGTTCCTTCTGCTTGTTGATGCCACCAGAAACTATAGGGCAGCTCCTTTTGATGGCAGAGCAGCTCCTGCAAAAGAAGGTCCTGGTGGATTGTATCCCATGTTAATAATCGTGTGAAGTTGCTATTTGTATCTTCCACTGGTCCTTTTGAAACAGAGTCTTGTAAAGCAAAATTCTCACAATCTAATTCCAAATGTTGATTACTCTAGGGGAGTTCCATGCACCGGGATCAAAAAGGGACTGTCAACATATTTCTCTTAGACAATCAATGTCACATTTTCTCTGCCACCCTCCCTTATTTCAGTAGCTATACCTTCTGCCATGCTGTGCTACTTTGGCCTCTGTTCTGCGAATGTCAAAACAACCAATTGCAAAAGACACAAATTAATCTGAGTCGGTGCTTGACGTGGTTCTCCCAGAATCTCAGGAGCTTGCAAGCTTCAGTCTGGGGGCTTATCAAAGAAATACAGTACTGGGATTTGACAACTCTTAATTTCAATGAACTTCCACCAGATCTGGAAAACAAGTGCTCTTTGTATACAGTACTTAGATTTTAAAACAGCCTTGTCCAGTTGGAGCTGGAGGGAACAAAATTAGCTGACCTGACCTGTACTCTTTTTAAATATCATCTTCCTGGCCTATGTGGACTTTGTTTCTTAAATTCTTCTTGTGGCATTGGGATCTGGATATGTCTACAATACTGCACATCACACTTTTTTGGGTGCCGGGTTAAGACACTTATATTTGCACTGGCATTGTTTATTTCTCATTATATTTATATCCCACCTTTCCTTGAAGGAGTGAAAGAATGGTTATCCGCCTCCCCATTTTATTGTCCTAACAACCAGGACTTTATTTCAGCTGGAACTTGCCGGCACTCAGTTCCAGCACCTCTCAGGTGGGCGCCATTACCATTATAAGAGAACAAGGGAAACGTTCATGGTGAGTTCCAGCACCTCTTTTCCTAGAAAGACCACACTGCTTACAATCCTGCAAGGTAATCTAGGCTGAGAGATAATGGCTGGTTCAAGTTCACCCAATGAACTTTGTTCTGCATAGGAATTTGTACTAGTCTAACATTCTAACCACATACTACTTAGCCAGAGCTCTTTTTAATCCTTTAGTTTTAGCCTGCTCTATATTTTGTTGTTTGTTTAAATATATTTTAATTTAATGTTATTGGAATTGCTTTTACACTTTTGTACGGTGCACTGGAATCTTGAAGGTACCCTGGACTAACGGTAAAGGTACCCCTGCCCGTATGGGCCAGTCGTGTCTGACTCTAGGGTTGTGCGCCCATCTCACTTAAGAGGCCGGGGGCCAGCGCTGTCCGGAGACACTTCCGGGTCACGTGGCCAGCGTGACGAAGCTGCTCTGGCGAGACTGCACCAGCGCAGCACACAGAAACGCCGTTTACCTTCCCGCTATAAAGCGGTACCTATTTATCTACTTGCACTTAAGGGTGCTTTCGAACTGCTAGGTGGGCAGGAGCTGGGACCGAAAGACGGGAGCTCACCCCTCCACGGGGATTTGAACCGCTGACCATGCGATCGGCAAGCCCTAGGCGCTGAGATTTTACCCACAGCGCCACCCGCGTCCCAACCTGGACTAGACTAGACTAAAATACCCTCTATTGCCTTGAGAACAAGGAGTTGCCTTGGGATGGCTTTACTGAGTTGCAGTGCAGAGGCAGGGAGCGCTATGTTTCTGACTCAATGCCACGGTCAGGTCTGTGGGTTTTCTTGCAGAACAAGGGAATGATCTTTCTTTCCCCCCCTGTATTCCCTCAAGGCTAATCTGTCAGAGGCCGCATGCCATTGATGGATGGAGGTTGAAGCCAGAGGTGGGTGAGACCAGAGCCAAAGGGTGCACCCCCTTTCCCCCACCCTTTCCTTTTCAGTCCCCGCCCCCCATTGCCACCTGTGTGACTATACTTCTAAAGCACATTTGTCACGGAGTTTGCTCCCTCAAAGAATTCTGGGCACCGTAGTTTGTTAGCAGTTGCTGGGAATTGTCTCTATGTGAGGGGTTACAGTGTCCAGAATTATCAGAGGTAGCAAAATCCGGGACAAATGTGCTTTAAAGGTGTGCACAGCGTTGAGGGCTGAAGATTGCCTAGCCCCTCTAGCTGCAACCCCATGTGAGCTCACAGGGTGGCCTTGGCCTAATCACTCTCTCTCCTTCGTTGTGAGGAATAAATGGGGGAAGACGCTTTGAGGAAAGCTGGAATGTATAAAAGTAAAATTGCTGGCTGTAGCTGCTGTGCGACACCCATTGGTCATTACTGCCTCTCTAGCTTCCTCGTTCCATTGTTGGACATCCCTTTAATAATAATAATAATAATAATAATAATAATAATAATAATAATAATTTATTATTTATTATTTATACCCCGCCCATCTGGCTGGGTCCCCCCAGCCACTCTGGGCAGCTTCCAACAAAACACTAAAATACAATAACCTATTAAACATTAAAAGCTTCCCTAAACAGGGCTGCCTTTAGATGTCTTCTAAAAGTTTGGTAGTTATTTTTCTCTTTGACATCTGGTGGGAGGGCGTTCCACAGGGTGGGCACCACCACCGAGAAGGCCCTCTGCCTGGTTCCCTGTAACTTGGCTTCTCGCAGTGAGGGAACTGCCAGAAGGCCCTCGGTGCTGGACCTCAGTGTCCGGGCTGAACGATGGGGGTGGAGACGCTCCTTCAGGTATACGGGACCGTTTAGGGCTAAAAGGTCAGCACCAACACTTTGAATTGTGCTCGGAAACGTACTGGGAAACGTACTTATGCAATCCCTTATGCAACATCCTCCTTGCAGTCCCTATTTAATAAGTTGTTGGCATCTGCCCATCTCAAGAGGCAATGGAGTGTGACTCTGAGGGCGAACTCAAACCACTGAGCAGCACTGAAGTGACCTCCAACAGGGTACAAGCCTTGGCAGTGTGTATGGAGGTCCTGGGCTGCCCAGACGACAAGACCTCCCTCTTGGCCTTGCTGACATGGTACAAAGGAAAGCAGAAAAACAGATTTGGCAGCAGCTGGGCTGCAGGAGTGCCGGAAGGAGGCGTACAAAGCACCATCCAACCATCTTAGGGACTCCAATCTGGATTTGTATAGGATTTACTCCTTGGCCGTTCCTTCTCCCGAAGAAATCCCACAAGGCAGCAGCAGAAGTTTAGGATCAGAGTTTTCTTTCTCCTAGATGGGCTGCCTTCCCAGGTTGTCAAGCCCCTCCATCTGCCTGTTTTCTCACTATGTGTACACCTTGCTGCAGTAGAACCAATTGGTAGCTAATCCTGGAGCATACTCTCTGCATGTACTTAAAACGCATATAACAAAACCCATATGGCTGCTTTTGTTAGACTTGAGGACAAACCTCTTGGCTGGTAGGGATGGTGGTAATTTGGAGCAGAGCTGCCCTAGGGTGAATGTGTGTATTTAAATTTTTCTCCATGTTTCTTCCTCTGCAACTCTTCTGCCAGCTGTTTTCTTCCTTTGCACATTTCCTTATGCATGTTTGTCTTTTGTGCACTGGCAAGCAGAATGTCATTTCTCCCTTCCCATTTTTGGTTTTTCCAAACAGGATCTAGCAATTATAGCATGAGACTCTTCAGTTGACGTATTCTGAGAAAAGTTTAACAATCTTTGTTTGATACACTGGGCAACGTGCTGATTTGTGGACTGAAAAAAAGCATTTGGTTTCTAAGCTGTATGGAAAAGTACCTTTTTAATGAAGTTGCAGTTTTGATTTTCTTGTGTGAGGAATATCAGTAGGGTTGCCAGGTGCAAAAGAGGACAAGGCTCCTTCACCGCTGTTAGCAGTGTAGAAGATATAATTTCAGCAAGCACACCTTGTCATCATGCAAATGCTGGAATTGCCACTTCTACACAGATATTTAATGGTTCAGGAGCCTGCTCTGTTTTTACTTGCCTTTTAGGCAACACTTCTGCAGTGGTGCATAAAGGGTATGCTTGAGGTGTCTGATCACGGCTCAGAAAAGGAAAAACACTCACAATCCCTTCTCCCTAGCACAAGGTTTAATCCATAGATCAACCCACTGACACTTTAGCTATGCAAATTCAATTAGTTGCAAATTCATATTTTCAGGCGATTTTGCTTCTGGCGTGTTTCAGCATTATGGAATAAACGGCAAAATATTAATGGCTGCTTTTCTTCCAGAAAGAAATGGCAGCTTCATGGGCGTAGCCAGGATTTATGTT